ACCCCCACGCCCACCCCACCAGAATCCAATGAGCCAAATGTCCAGCCTAAGAGTTAGGAAGTATTCCTGCTAATTGCAAGTGTTAGGAATTGATGCCTCCTACCTCCTGACAAAGATCCCAGTTTGTTACCAGCAGACGAGTTTTGGGGAACCTAGATCATATCCCACAGTGGAGGGCTGACCTCATAGAGAGGCCACCTCCTTTAGTCACCCGAGTCTGTGACGTTTGACTGTCAAATGTGTGTGAGCCAACCTCCCACTTATGATCCCGCGTGGTTTTGGGGTGACAGGCTTCCATTATGTCCAATTACCCCATGATGAGGAATGGACCTGAAGAGTCCTTCTCTTGGAGCAGACAGCGGCGGATTAAAGAGCCATACTGGCTAGACAGCTGCTCCATGTACAATATTGTGACAACTGAGGGGAGATTAGATGTTGTGCTGCATTCTGAGTTTCTAATGTCATAGGAATTAGATCTAGTATTTTAAGCCCCCAGACCCAACCTGAGTCTGAGACCTGAGCAAAGCCTGAGCACTTCAGGGAAGACCACCCACCAAGGTGCCGCCTATTGGCCTCACCCCTTTGATGAGCTGCCATCGGGCCCAGTAACGTCAGTGTCATAAACAGACCCCAGCGCTCACAGTGGTGCTGCTGCCTTCTAGGCAACGTTGAGAACCCGGCCCCTGACTCCTGCAGGGCCCCCTTTTTCCCCATCGTGTGGTCTGGGTAGTAAGAGGTAGGCTGCTCACTTATTCAGAATAAACTCACAGCTGCTTAAAGATTTTAAAAGTCCATTTTTCTCAACAGAGGCATAACTGAATGATGAAACCAGTTTTCTTTTTTCTTTTTTGCAGGGCTGAGACTTCAGAGACCTCAGGGACATCTTTCAGTGTTCACTGAAACCTCCTACACCTGGTGATGGCACAGAGGGACTGTTCTCTTAGGAGAGCAAATGTAGAGCAGTTGGATCTCCAGCTCTCCCGAAGCTTCTGATCTCGGACCTTATTAAGCCCCTTCCTGAGGCCAAGGACAAAGCTCACTTGGACAAATGGTTGTGAGTCATGAATGAAATATCTGGCTCTTTCCATAATGAGAAAGAGTTAAAAGACGGACCGGTAAGTAACACTCCTGTTTGGGAAAGATGGTTTGGGATATATGGTTAATTGTAAATAGGTAGAACATATCAAAAGAATGTGTCTTTTCTCCGCATGTTCTTTTGTTGGCCAGGGGAGAATAGTATTTATGTCAGGATCCTCTTCAGAAGTAGAAGGAGCCTCCCTGGTTCCAAGAGGAAAGGAAAGAGAAGCTCTTGTGCAGTCTGGACATTTGCATCGAGTTTTTAGGCACCAGACTGATATTGCTGGTTGAGACCTTGTGCTCTCTGTTGGCTAACCTGCTGCGAGAGCAAATTCCCACGCCTTTATTGCAGACATTTCTGCTCCTGGCTCACAGTCTTTGATCAAGTTGTTTGTAGGTGAGACGTGCGGGGTTAAAGATTGATCACGTTGCTGAGGATTTGAAAGGGTGTAGGTAAGGATTTGAAGAGTGATAAATGAATAAAGTTGTGTGTAGATGAGGGTGTGAAGAGTGAAGGGACCTTTTTCAGCCTCATAATAAGCATTCGTTGTTGTTGTTCCACTCTTTCTGTTTTTGTTCAGTCACTTTGTCCCTTCTTTTCATCTCCCAAGGGTCCAGCATGTTTTATGTTCTTGACCGTCCAAAGTCGAGTGTTCTGTATTCCATTAGCGTTGTCTAGCTTGGAAACCCTGAGGCTCCCTGTCTGCCACCCCACCTAGAGTTTGGGGCTGGCAAGATTGAATTTTCTAGAAATCCAAGCATTCAGGACCTCTGGACCCACCTCACCTGCTATGACTGTCCTTCACTCTGCTGGACCTGAGCCCATGGTTGTGTCGATAATAATAGCTAACATTTATTGAGCACTTACGTTTGTGCCATATACTCTTCCAAGTTGTGGAATGACCTCATGCTCACAGCTATGTTATGAGGGATTACAGATGATTAAGTAACTTGCCCAAAGAAATACAACTGGTAAGTGTTGGAGATAAAATAGAAACAGGCAGTTTAGCTCTGGGGTGTGCTTTTAGCGACCACCCTCTATCTACCTCTTCCCAGCGACTTTCTTTTATTCATTATCAGTTAGCATTTAGAGTTTTTGGTAGTATTTTATCCAGTTGTCAAGTATATTCTCAACACATTGCATTGTCATGTGACTTCTTCAGCCAAGACTATAAGGCAGAGGGGAGCTATCCGAAACTATTTTTACCGCTGCGACTGGAGGATCATTTTTGGTGTTAAACTGAAGCGTCTCCGTCCTTCACTTACTTGATGTCCTTTATAGGAAAGGCAGTGACAGCAAATACCCTAGCAATTTGGGCTAGAGACTAACAGCTGTGGTTTGGAGAAAAGGCCTGTGTGATGGCTCTCGAGAGCCTATCCTGCTGCTTTTCCCCTTCTTATTGTGCTTTCAGAGGCTCTGGGTGGCACAAACGGTTAAGCACTGGGCTGCTAACTGAATGGTTGGTGGTTCAAGTCCACCGAGAGGCACCCTGGTAGAAAGGCCTGGCGATCTACTTCTGAAAAACCAGTCATTAAAAACCCTATGGAGCACAGTTCTACTCTGATGCACATGGGGTCTTCATGAGTCAGAATCTACTCAAGGCAACTGCTTTGGTTTTTGGTATTGTGCTTTCATTCATTCATTCATCAAACGTTTGTTGAGCACCTATCATGTGTCAGGCACCGTGCTAGGTTCTAGAGAACCCTGCCCACAGTCTCATGGGAGAGGCAGTTACAACGCTGTATGATAAGCACTGAGTATCAGTGTCTCTCAGGAGTGGCTCCTAGTCCAGACTGAGGTGAAAGACAACATCCAGTGAGGGTGATATCCGAGTTAACTGCGGGCTGAGAATGAGCTACGCCAGCAGGGGTTGGAAGTGAAGGTGAGAGTACTAGCCTCCTGGTTGGTCAGCAAGGGGGCAGCCTGTGCCAAGACACCCAAAGTGGGAGGAGGTAGAGCTTGTTGAGGACCTTCAGCTAGTTCTGTATAGGCCAAGGGCAAAGCTGGGAGGTGAGAAGGATCCAGATTATAGACGTACTTAGGTGCTGTGCTGAAGAGTTTGGGTTTTACCTTGAGGGTTATGGAGAATCCCTGGAGGATCTTGAGAAGGGGTCGACATCAGATCTGCCTTTTTCATAGCTCACTCAGCCAACTGTATGAAGGGGGATTCGAAGGAGACAAGACCTAAGGCAAGCAGATGAGGTTCGGGCTACTACAGTGATCCAGACATACCTGGATCTCAGTGTTTCCTTTTCTCACTATTGCAGTTGTAAGTACAGAAGTGCTCAGAGCCCAAGAAGAATGGGAAACCGTGGACAGCATCCAGCCAGAGACAGGTAACTGCAGGCACGGCACGACCTTCACACAGCCCTGCTGGCAGCAACGACACCATCCTCATGTGTAACAGAAGTTTCTGCAACTGTGGGATTAGGAGATAGAGTTCTGGTGTTCTCATTTTAGCTACGTGACATAGAGTAAAGTCTCCTTTTCAAATCCAAAGGAGAGGACATTCTGCCTCTGGGGGAAATGGGAATGAGTGCTGTCAGGAAACGGCCAGTAACCTGTCCATCCCCCACCCAGCCCTGAGAGAAGACAGGAAGGACCTGAGTCAGGCTCAGCCTCCGCAGAGTGATGAAGTTGGGCACAGGATGGAGGCAGGCAGCCAGGGCACTGCAGAAGGTTGAGCAGGTTGTTCTCTGCACAAGGAAGTCCCTGGGGGTGGGGGCTGAAACCATCTGCTGGAAGGCTCTGAGGACTGGGTGAAAATTGACTCACGTCCCTTTTTGAGAGAGGTTTGGAGGGAGCGGTAAGAGAATAGAACGAGGACCCATCCAGCCTGAGCCCCATTTGAGCTCCTGGAGAGATGTTCCATGGGCTTTATCAGCCGTCACCTGTACTGCTAACTGATAAGCTAGTTCCCTGTGGGCTATAACCAAGGATGAGGAGGAGGTCATATACAGGTGTGAGAAGGAGCAAAGTAGAAATTAGGAAAGGCCTTAAACCAACTGGTGGCCTGCTTCTATGTGGGTATCCACTCCAGGCAGGGACTTGCCCCCTCATAGGTGAGTGGAATTTAGGAAGCTCCCTGTAGGATGGATCTATCCCGACTCACTACAGAGGTCCGCCTAGCAAACCTCTAAACAGCCTGGTCTAAAAAGGGAGTCAGCCCAGCAGATAATGCCAGCCCCTTGAAAGCGGATTGGTTGTGGCTGTAGGTGTCTGATGTTTGCAGTGTCAAGCCAGTGCTTGGATTGGAGGTGATAACCAGAAGGCCCTCAGTAAATGGTATAATGGCTACCATTATAAATCCTGGAGTGTCTTCTCCAGTTCAGACCAGCCTGGGTAGCTAATCTCCTTCAGTGAGGCCCTGCAGCATTTCCAGACTGTAGACCTCTCCTCCTTCAAGGTATGGGAATTGGGGTCTCAAGCAAAGCAGCTTCTTCCCAGGAGCCAGATATCCATTCCACAAGGACAGGGCCCTGAGCAGGCGTGATGGAAACTTCCATTGAGGGCCCTGTCTTACCTAAGACTCTCGCGGCACAGGATCATGGTAGCCAAGGACCCATGGCTCATGCAGTGCCCTGGAGGCGTCTCTGGGACTGTGTCCATGGAGCTCCTGTGGCCCTGTGATACAGGTGCCTTTGTAGCTGTTTCCCTGCTCTTTCCTCTTAGGGATGGAGATGTCTGGAATCATGCTAGGTAGTTCCTTGGGGGAAGCAAGGCAACCTATGCAGGGAGCTGAATAATTCCTGGCCAATATAGGAAACTCTGCAATTCCCTCCAGGAACCAGAAGCTATTTGGGAATTTAAGAAATATGTGGAGTTGGAAAAAGAAGGAATATTGGGGAGAATAAAAGCTGGGAAGAGCTTTCTGGAGCATCTTGAGTGACCAGTAGTAAGTTTAGGAGAATGTGATTGCAGATTTTCAGTCTAAAACTCGGCTCAAGAGAGGTGCTGAAATGACAGGAATGGCGTTGGACTGTAGGACCCAGAGAGCCAGAAGCCGCCAAAATCAGAATATTTCAAGGCAGTGGCCCTGAGCTACAAGAAGCCAGCATAACCTGGTTTAGGAAGTGCTGATTGTGGTATAGACAGAAGGCTCCAGCTACCCGGCAGAGGCATTGACCCCCTGTAAACTCCCCTCCCCACTGGCTCCCTCATCCTGGAAATTGAGAGGCTGCTCGATTTTGTGACTTATGTCCTTTACAGAGACAGACAGCAGACAAAAGGTAAAAGCTGCTGCTGTGAAATCTGGCCTGGTTTTTGTCTGACCACATGGGGGTTCTCTGCAGCTGGGCATCTCTAGCCTCACTGAACCAGTTGCTGTGGAGTCAGTTCTGACTCATGACAACCCCGTGTGTGTCAGAGTAAGGTTTTCAATGACTGATTTTTTGGAAGTAGATTGCCAGGCCTTTCTTCCTAGGTACATCTGGGTGGACTCGAACTTCCAACCTTTCAGTTAGCTGAGCATGTTAACTGTACCATCTAGGGACTCCTAGCCTTACCGGGAGTCAGGAACAGCTAGTTCTGGGAAAGCTCAAACGACTAAATGCAGAGAACTGACTGATAATGCATGGGCCTGGGAACAGCTCTTTCTGCTTACAGAGACCCTGGAAGCTGGAAGAGCCTGTCTCCAGAAACTCAGCATGTGCTCACCACAGCTTCGGCCCCCTTTCCCTGGCCCAGAGACCAGCCAGTTGGTAGGAACTGCTTCTTTCCACAAGAACTGTCCCTGTATGTGGACTCGAGGGTAAGCTCATTAAGGCAAGCAAACCCGGCACTCTCTCCATTGCCTCCAACTTCCTCCCCAGAATTCAGCCAACCGTTCGAAGGACTGGGCTTGCCGCCCTCCGGCACCTTCTCTTCGGTCCTCCAAAGCTCCACCAGGGCCTCCATGAGGAAAGGGACCTGGTCCTGACCATCGCTCAGTGTGAGTGCCAGCCCAGCCCAGCACGGGCACTGCCACAGGGCAGGTGCTGCAGTGTGCCCATGCCAAGAGCACTGTTGCTCAGCACAGTGCTGAGGCTAACCAGGGGTCTTGCATGTGCTCTGTTGAGGGGGAAGAGCACGGGAACTGAGGGGTCCAATGTGGGAGAATAGAGTATCTTGAGCACAGTCCAGATCCATCTTGGCTGTACCTGCCTCTGAGAAGTCCTCCCCTAAGAGGCAGTCTGACCGAGGGTGTGGATGTGTTTTGGGACAGGTGGCCTTGACAGCCAAGACCCAGTACATGGCCGAATCCAGACCATCTACAAGAAGCTGACTGGCTCCAAGTTTGACTGTGCCCTCCACAGAGACCACTGGGAAAATCTTGGCTTTCAAGGTGAGAGAGAGGAATGGGTCATCTTTTCCTTGATCCTGATTCTAGGACTAGGCTGAGAGGCCAGCTAGTCCTCTTCCAGTCAGGCAGCACCATGAGATAAAATATCTGGGGGGAAGCATTCCAGGAAGATGGTGCAGCAAATGCAAAGACCCTGAGGTGGAACACGCTTGCTGTGCTTGAGAAATAGCAAGGAGCGTGTCTGAGTAGAGTAACCAAGAAGAGAGTGATGGGAGAAAAGACCACGTGTGGCGTTATACGCCATTATAAAACATTTACTCTCAGTGAGATGGGAAACTATTAGAGAGATATGGTTTGGAATCTGGAATTTTTTTCCCTCTTTTTTTTTTTTTTTGTGTATTGGTGAAATTTTTATTTTATTTTCTGAGTAAAACAAAATAATTTCAACTGTTTCTGGATTGTGTACTTTTTTTGTTCAAAATCGCGTCAAATCACATTTGTATAGAATAGGAAACTGTCTTCGTTTAAAAACTTAAACTTTATATACCCATCATTATTTGGTAATCTTTCGGTATTGATGTGTTGAAGTCCCTTGACCCTCCCTATCTATAATTTAATTGTCTTAAAATGAGAAGAAACAGCTGCAAACATCCATTAATAATCAGAACATGGAATATATGAAGTGTGAATCTAGGAAAATTGGAAGTCATAAAAAACGAAGTGGAATGCATAAAGATGAGTATCCTAAGCATTAGTGAGCTGAAATGGACTGGTATTGACCATTTTGAATCAGACAATCATATGGTCTACTATGCCGGGAATGATAAATTGAAGAGCAATGGCATTTCATTCATCGTGCAAAAGAACATTTCAAGATCTATCTTGAAATACAGCGCTGTCAGTGATAGGATAATATCCATACACCTACAAGGAAGACCAGTTAATATGACTGTTATTCAAATTTATGCACCAACCACTAATGCAAAATATGAAGAAACTGAAGATTTTTACCGACTTCTGCAGTACGAAATTGATCACACATGCAATCAAGATGCATTGAAAATCACTGGAGATTGGAATATGAAAGTTGGAAACAAAGAAGATGGATCAGTAGTTGGAAAATATAAATCTTGGTGATAGAAGTGACACCAGAGAGCACATGATAGAATTCTGCAGGACCAACAACTTATTCATTGCAAATATCTTTTTTCACAACATAAACGGCAACTATACACGTGGACCTCACTGGATGGAAAAGATAGGAATCAAATCAACTACATCTGGTGAAAGAGATGATGATGAAGCTCAGTATCATCAGTCGGAACAAGGCCAGGGGCCGACTGTGCAACAAACAGGCCATCAATTGCTCTTATGCAAGTTCAAGTTGAAACTGAAGAAAATTAAAACCAATCCATGAGAGCCAAAGTACAACCTTGAGTATATTCCACCTGAATTTAGAGACCATCTCAAGAACAGATTTGATGCATTTGAACACTAATGACCGAACACCAGAGAAGTTGTGGATTGACATCAAGGACATCGTACATGAAGAAAGTAAGAGGTTATTGAAAAGAAAGGAAAGAAATAAAAGACCAAAATGCATTTCAGAAGAGACTCTGAAACTTGCTCTTGAACGTAGAGTAGCTAAAGCGAATGAAAGAAATAATGACGTAAAAGAGATGAACAGATTTCAAAGGGCGCTTCAGAAGACAAAGTAAAGTATTATAATAAAATGTGCCAAGAACTGGAGTTAGAAAACCAAAAGGGAAGAACATGCTCAGCATTTCTCAAGCTGAAAGAACTGAATAAAAAATTCAAGCCTTGAATTGCAATATTGAAGGATTCTATGAGCAAAATGTTGAATGATTCAGGAATCATCAAAAGAAGATGGAAGGAATATACAGAGTCACTATACCAAAAAGAATTGGTCAATGTTCAACCATTTCAGGAGGTAGCATATGATCAAGAACCAATAGTATTGAAGGAAAAGGTCCAAGCTGCACTGAAGGCACTGGCAAAAAAGAAGGCTGCAGGAATTGACAGAATACCAATTGAGATGTTTCGAGGAACAGATGTGGAGACCAATTCAAGATGGCAGCCTGGTCACACACACTACTCTGTACCTCTTCAGCAAAGACCCAAGAAACAAAATGTAACAGATACAGATGATAACCCTGGAACCCTGAGCATCCAATTAAAGGGTATAGAATTAGATCAAACACCGATTGGAAAAAGAAACTGAACAACAGCAGGAACGGAGAGAGATATGGAGTGGAGGTGCCCTGCCAGCCAGTCCTGCACAGCGGGGCCATTTTGAGACAAAGCCAGCAGTGACTCTGGGTGAGGAGCATAGGAATACAACATTACGGAACTCCCAGTAGGAGACAAAGAAACTGTGTAGACATACCCAGAGTGAAACAAGGTGAGCAGGATATGAACTGGAGCTAATGAGGGAAAGTAAAGGAAGGAGGATGAGAGCTTCAGGGACCCTGGCATATATAGAGCAGGGAGGAAATCAGGACTCAGAGACAGTGTGACTCTTCAGCGGTGGTACATGAGAGATAGGGTGGGTTGCGAAATTGAAGCACTAGCTGAGCCCCCTCTTTTTTTTCCCTCCACTCTGGCAGTCCACCCTGCCCCTCTCCCACTCCCAGCTGTCTGCCCACCCACTCCACCACTGGAGAGAGCACCTGAGCAACACCCTGCTGCTTCCCCTACCCCTGCCTCATTGGAGAGAGTGCAAGATACCTGGCCACCCACTCCAATCCTCCCCAGCTGGAGTGCAACTGCATACAACCTGGCCACTCACCCCGCCCCTCCACCATCGGAGTGAGCATCTATACTACCCTGGCCCTCCACTCCACCCTTCCACCACTGGAGAGAACACCAGCACGATCCCGGCTGCCCACCCCACCCCTCACCTCCAGAGAGAGTGCCCCTGGGAACAGTAGCCGCCTGCCCCATCTCTCTCACCAGACAGCACCTGCACTCCCCAGCCCACTCACCACCCCGCTGAGGAGAATGCTTGTGTGGCCCCAGATGACTGACCCGCACCTCCCCCACCAAAGGGTGCACCTCTCTACCCCCCAGCCACCAACCCTGCTCCTCTCCTGCCCGAGAGAGCACCTCCATGCCCCAGGCTGCCCACCAGCTCCTTGCACACTGCCCAACTGCCCAGCTAGTGACTGTGACCAATCCTTACTGCCAATGAGTAGCTGCCCAACACACCTTCAGCTGTCTCACATATACAGTGAACAGAAATGAGGGCTCATTTTGCCCACTGCTGCCCCATCCACCTGGGGTCAGGTAGAGAATGCCCTCGTGCCACCAGACAAGCAATCACCGAAGCACACCCAACCTGCCCACTCTTATATAGCAAAACAAAACAAAAAAATCATGAATAAATAAAGTAACACCTTAATGCCTCAGACACAGCAGACAATATCAAATCATATAAAGAAACAAGACAAGATAGCTCAAACAAGTGACCAAAATAAAGGGAAAGAAAACCTTCCTGAAGAAGACTTGGTAATAGAACTGCTTGATAAAAATTCAAAAGGCTTATATATACGCTCCTTAAAGAGATCAAAAGAAACACAGATGAAACCAAGAAAAACTGTAGAAGAATTCAGGAAAACAATACAAGAACAAAATGACAAATTAAATAGATAATCAGAAATCATACAAAAAGCAACTAAAAATCCAGAAGATTAAGTATAAAATATCAGAAAGAGATAAGTCAGTCGAAGGACAGAGAAGTAGAATTGAAACAATGGGAGAAAGAATTAGCGAAATAGAGGATAAATACTTTGATAGTAATTTGTTTGAGGAACAGCCAGACAAAACAATGAAAGAGAATGAAGAAAGCCTAAGAGTTATGTGGGACATTATTATGAAGAGGAATAATGTACACATGATTGGAATCCCAGAACAGGAGAAAGCAAAAAAAAAAAAAAAAGCACAGAGAATTTTTGAAGGTCTGCTGAAAGAAAACTTCCCAAATAGCATGAAAGACAAGAAGATTTCCATCCAAGAAACTCAATGAACCCCATACATAATAGATCCCAAAAGAAAGTCACCAAGACATATCATAACAAAATCTCCAAGTCGAAAGATAAAGAATTCTGAGAGCAGTATGGGAAAAATGAAGTATCACCTACAAAGAGACTCCAATAAGACTAAGCTCTGATTTCTAGGCAAAAACCATGCAGGTAAGAAGGCAATGGGATGACATGTATAAAGCCCTGAAAGCAAAGAATTGCCAACCAAGAATCACATACATACAATGGTGAAATTAGGACATTCTCAGATAAACGTTAATTAAAGGAATTTGTAAAAACCAGACCATCTTTCAAGAAATAAAGGGAATCCTTCGGATAGAGAACCAACGACACCAGAAAACAACCTGAGAATGAGCCACACAATGGCATCACCAGGATGCCAACCCAGACAAAGAAATCTCAAAAGTAAAATAAAGCTACAGAACCAAAAACAGGAAACCAGAGATATCTATCTGTAAGCAATGACAACTTCAAAACAAAAGGGGGGGTGGAATAAGTGATGTAGACATAGAACTTCCATATGGAGAAGTCATGGCAATATCAAAAAATAAAAGACTGTTTTAAACTTAGGAAGATAAAGGTAAACGTCAG